TTATTCTGTTTTGTGTACCTAAATAAATAAATAAATAAATTTAAAAGAACCTCCCACTTTTTTTTAGTCGGCCAAATAAGATACCTACGTCAAAAATATTACAATATAGGTTATTTTATTTTTCGCCATTGTTAAAGCTCAATTACACAAAATAGCAAACTCAGGTTTAAGAATTTTTTCAGTAATACGTCTTAAGTGGTAACACTGAAAACTCGGTTCAGAATGTCGAAATGTATTTGGACTGTAAAATTACGGACATTACTTTACCGTGTAGTGCAGTGCACAAGTGCCGTGATACTTATCGATCCGCGTCGTAACAACGTTAGTCACCATACAAAAAGAGATATGTATCAACATACAAAAAGATGATACATGCTTACCTGTTTAATAGAGTTCATACTCGTCACTCAAGTCTTCATATGAATATGTTTAAGGGGAAATATAACCTCAAATGGCTTAACAAGATCCTCCGTTATACCATTCTTTCCTGCCGCCCGGACAGGACGCCGATAGTTTAGGAAATTTCTTTTTACAGTGAAAATAATGGTAATTAAAAAATAAAATAAAAAACATAAGCCCTGCTTTATAGTTAGTTCAGTTAGTATGCAAAGTTTCATGATCTTATTTAAAGTATTTTATGAATAACAGCGGTTTATTGTTCAGTTTGGAGGTAACTTTGGATTTTTTTTCTATCGAGAATATTTTACGGAATCATGTTTTCGTCTAACATAGTACTTAACATTAATCCTCAAATTTACTATATATTTATTTCAAAATTATTGCTGCAATATTTTCGGTATAACGGAGGATTTTGGTAAGCCACTTGAGATTATATTTCCCCTTAAGATGTTTTAGACAAGTTCGTCCGCTCAGAGTTACAGGCGTAAATGTTTTCTTGTCAGAAAAGAATATTGATGCAAAATATGTAGAATGCTTTTTAATTTATATCTTAACGAGATAACAGTTTATCTGTAAGAGGCTAGTATAGTTCACGGAAACCAACCATCAACTATAAACAAAGGCGGCTATAGTGGGTTGTCACTTGTCACCGTTGAGGACTAAGATGAAACGTCTCAAGGTTTATAATTATAGCAACTCTCATAAACGTGAATAATACTGCTTGATGGCAGAACAGTAGGCAAGAGTAGTCAAGTTTTGAGAGGGGTTTTAGAGCCGGGAAGTGTCTGCCATAATACGTGCAGGCAGACCTATTGAATACTGTGAATTTTACGACGTGCGCTTAGCCCGTCAGTTACCACGGCTCTGTACAATAATTGTATGTATAAATACAATAATTGTAAATGAATAAATTATTTAAAAAATTTAGAATATTGTTAATCATTTTTAGGTTTGGTTTGTCAAGAGCGAACTTCATATAAATACTACATATTGCTCAATCAGACACTGAGACTTGTTTTCTATAAAAATCAGAAATAAATAAAGAGCAAAACGTTAATGTTTAAATGCTAATAATGCTCCGTAAACTATGTACCTATTACTACTATAAAAAAAACGTTATATCGTTTTAAATTTTTCACAATAACAAAAACTTTTCCTTAAATTATTTGTTGTAATTGTCGGCCTTACCTACTCATTATTATTACTTCGGTTGATTCTACTACCACGAGCGATCGGCCACGACTTCGCACGGGTGATTTCTGGACCTCGACAACAGTGCCACCTACCGTGTTCAAATGTGAATCTAAACCATGCAGAGACCCATTCAAACACACACAAAAAATTTCATCAAAATCGGTCGAGCCATTTTTGAGTTTTAGCGAGACTAACAATAGATTTTTAAAAGTAGAGATTAAATAATTATATTTACATTATATAGTTGTAGCACGAATGGGTCGGCTCGACCGGAGAAGATCCACGCTCTCACAGAATAACCAGCGTAAAATAGTAGCTTAATGCTGCTGTGTTTCGTATGGTGAGTGTAGAGAACCGGAGACCCTTTTTACGGAAGAGAGAGAAGAAACGAGGCATTACATCTTAGTCCTCACGGGTGACAACGCATCTGCATTTTGATTCGTAATCGAGGATAGATGTAGATGTCTATGGGCCACAGCAACCACTTGCCATCAGGTGGACTGTGTGCTCGTTTGTCACCATAACCTATAAAAAAAACATAATTCTTTTGCCATTTAGTTGGAGAGAGAGAGAAAGCATTTTTAAGCATTTCTTTAATTGACGTCAATTATTACGAGTAAGGCCGTATGTGAATAATATAATTTTACGCGATAAATTATACGCGATATTTTCAACAATTTTTCTTAAAGCATTGGCAGGATGTATTAGGGGGTTGTACCATTTGGTTTGTTTGTTAATCAGTACGCGCGATGAGTAAACAAACAATATAGTCAACATCTCGTTTATCTTAAGTAAATTAAGTCTTTACGAGTGCCTATTGAAAGGCAAAATTCTTAACCGGATATCTCACTTCTACGTAGAGAACAAAGTCTTGTTTTACACAAGGAAATAACTGCAGTCGAGCAACAATAGCTTTCGAGTGCGCGTGCCCATCTTTTTGTCCCTTCTCTTCAAAGGAAGCAGAAAAAACGCTGACCACTCGAGTTTTAAGTGCCCCATAACTCGCATTGTTTGAGAGACACAATAAAGACAATGTGTACTCGTCGGAGGGGATGATACTTTCTTATCACTCTTGCACATTGTATATGGTCTAAAATTATTACAGGTTTCTCTCAAATAGCCTTACGAAATTAAATTTCATAAGGGTACTAAGAATATAGACTTTATGAAGTGGTTTATTACTCTGTATAGCTGATAAAAAAGCAACGAATAATTTCTATTTGCTTAATATGGAATGGCAGCGTAAGGCAATCCACATCATCCAGAAGATGTCACAAGAGGGTACAGAGCGGCATGAAACAGGAGATGGAGTAGCAAGCACTTGCAGCTGCAAACATCGAACTGCGAAAAAAGGCTACAGATGTCTTAACCTTTAAGCATTTAGATTGAATTCCTTACAGCCTACCTAGTTCTCTGTGCTGCATATACTGGATCGCAGCAGTGTACCAAGACAGACTCGTCTCCAAAAAAACAAACTCCGGAGCACTCCCGCGTAGTAAATTTTCATACATTTAATTTTTTATTATTTTTAAATACATAATATATTGATAGATCAACACAATTTTTACGGGTTTTGTCGTGTTCAATTCATCTAAACGTCTGGAATTTAAAATAAGTTGAAATCAAACACCTTAAAATCCGTTAAAACAAAACTCTTATTCCGTGTGCTGTTTCCGCATAAATATAAAAGAAATCATTATATTCTCTGATTTATGAGCCGGCCGGTTCGTTATCTTATACGCTTACGCGGTAATAGGTGCCGATTTGAAGTTATAAACGTGGCATTTAAAACAAACAATCGCGTAGTAAAAATACTGCGACAAAGTGTGAAGCGATCAGCAATGTAATGATGAAATCGCTGAGGACTTGTCAAGTATATCAGCCACGTGTCAAGTGAAATGCATATGTCGGTGCTAAGGTACGCATAGCTATGTACATTTCCCGATAAACATAACTCGATACAAAACAACACACGTACATGTACAGTCACGAAACCAAGGTACGTATCTATAGTAAGATAGCGACTGTCCATTCATTCATAAGAAGCGGTTCATTCATGCGGGCGAGAGGACAGTGAATGGGAGGGAAAGAGACAGAACGTATATTAGGTCGCGTTACAATAGAGTTCCTGCATTCTCATGAATGAGAAGTTGAAATCCTATTCTACGAAAAGTTGAATGACATTGTTTTGTTTTAAGCAACTGAATGCAAGGAGTTGCGGGTATCTTGTTAACCATGTAGGCTTATTGATTCTTATTACTGGGTTGATCATAAACGTAATGACACACAATTTTCGTAGTGGTTATTTTTACTTGGGGCTCCAATATTATTTAAAATGATACTATCATACGTAACGATTTTAAATACAGGAGAATGGATATATTTTTATAGCCATTATACGTCCCACTGTTGTTCACAATCCCCTTCTTATTTCTGTTGTATTAATTTGGTGGATATTAAAAGTTGAAGTAAGGGACAGTACGTATGTGTTTCCTACATATAATAAATACATTTAATTTTATTTATAACAAAATTATTTTTCTAAAAAAATAAAAACGACTATGCATGCAGCCTTATACCGGAGCAACAAGATTGTGTAAAAAACACCATCGGTAGGAAGTCAACCCGAGCGCAACCTAACAATTTTAATCTTTCTATTATTGAAAAGAGAATTTATTATATAGACAGCAATAATTTTTATTGAAATTTAAAAATGAATATATGGGAAGTTGTAGTGTACTAGATATACAAACGTTAAGAAATAAATATAAATTTTTTATTCATTAGCCCATTTTTATTATTTACTTATACTATTATTACGACACTTTATATCTGTTTATTACAAACCTAACCATAATATTGAGGATTGGTCGTATTTGATTCGTAATTCATACCAAAACTACTATTTCGTTTTAAATCAGTAGATTCATTTTTGTGACTTAAACTTCTAAATTCAAATTAAATGCTTACAATTTACGAAAATAAATTGAATGGCTAATATATACGAGTATATACGAAATATGTTCCGAAATAATGTTACGAAATAGTTTTAACCTAATTATATATTAATATTTAAAGCATAATTATAATGGATAAACAATTAATAAAAAAGCGTAAAGCAAATTCATTTATATGTAAAATTCTATGGAAAATAAATCTGTATGGAAAATTCCTCGTATCAAGACGTTCGAGTCGCAGTCAGAGGTGGTTATAACAAGCGCGTAGGCAAGTCGTACCTGACTCGGCGCGCCCGTTGCCAGTCCGAGCTTGCCCGACTCGACGACACGTCTCCTCGCACGGGACACTCACACGAGCGACATTCCGATTACTGAACCCGAGCAAAATTCGGAGCATCACAAGAGTGTGTGTAGAGCAAGGGCAGTGCAAGTAACAGTGAAATTAGAGACATGCAAGTGTTAGCAACGTTGTTCCTGGCGTCCGTGCTTGGTGGTGTTCGGGGAGTGATTCGGACACCGTTGGAGGCGTTTAGGCCCTCGGGAGAAATACATTTAAGGAGACCGGACAAACTGCCACTTTTGCCACATAAAAGAACAACGATCCAGGCGAAGAGTGGTCTCAAGATATTGTATCAGATTGGAGTAAGTTGTCTTCAGCCAATCAATAATTTAGGTTACGTGTTTTTGCTCTAAAATAATTTTGTAATCGATTAATTGTTTATTATATGCATAATATAACTTGAAATTTACGCGGTTTAATGAACGACTTACGATAATTTTGAGTTATTCGCATGCCAGATGTCTTTACCTTGCTTTGACCTGTGTAATATTACCTGCGCACAGAAAGTGCTTTAAACGAATAGTAAAGGTACATAAATACATATGAAATTACGCTCAAAATTAATAAACGATAGTGCCAAAAACGGTGACATTAGGCGTTTTGGTTATTTAATAATTAATTTCTTGGAAAGTTATAATTAAGTTTAAGTATATAATTAAGTACGGTCAGAGAAGGCTGCAGCTATATTAGTAGTATAGTGGTAGCACGAAAGTTCGAAAGGCTCGACCGGGGAAGGACCACGCTCTCATAGAATACCAGCGTAAAATAGCAGCATTAAGTAGCTATTTTTGGTATGGTTAGTGCAGAGAACAGGAGACCCACTTTTCTGGAAATGAGACATTCCATCTTAGTTCTCACGGGTGACAACGCATCTGCATTTTGATTTGTAGTCGAGGATAGATGTAGATATCTATGAGCCACAGCAACTATTATAGGTACTTAACATCAGGTGGACTGTGTGCTCGTTTCCACCCTTATCGTGTAAAAAAAGATCAACGACATAATTTAGAGTAACCGTGATTGAGTAGTCAGGATTACCAGGTAGGTGGGGTCGGTATCATCTTCTACTGCATTTTAACAATTAGTTTAATCGAAGGACAATAAGTACCGATTTGTTATTCAAGTGGTCACTCCTTCATAATCAAAATACTTAAAACTTGTAAAATATCTGTATCACACCTTTGTTAAAGACTCTTGACTTCCAAAGTTTCCAAGGGTAATATTATTACCTATAATATACTTATATTTTATATGAATATATATAGAACATATAATTTCAAGTTATGAAGTATAGTTAATGCCTAATAAAAGTACAAGATAAAACGCAAAATATCGTCTGGATTAATAGGCACTTGTTTTGGTTCAATGAAATATTTGCATCTCTTATTTTTACCGTAATTACGATTGCTAAGTCAATGAAGATAAAGATGTTAACATAAAATTTTATTTAAATTATTTAATGTAAGAACTAAACAGAGATGTGTTTTGTTTGTATTCTTTAAAAGAACTACCTAATAACAGAATTACAGAAGCGTGAAGTTAAATGGTTAAGCACGAAAGCTAAAAATAATATATTGCTTTGATATTTCGTTTATCTCTAAAAAAATTACATATACCTAAATGGGTAATAAAACTTATTCTAATAAGTTTCTTATGTAAAATTATCAAAGTGTACGATATCTTTTTATCGAACACACATACAAAACTCACGTGTTAACTAGTAGGATATTAATCTGTGTTAAAACAATCTCATCATTGAATTATGGCGATTATGGCAAATTTTTCTACGTGGTGGAAGCACACAGCAGCTTAGTAGCAGAATGGGCTGGCTCGACTGAGGAAGGACCAGGCTCGCACGCACGCAGCAGTTTATGACGAGTGTAGATAACATTACTTTATGCCCTTTTTAATGGAAACGTGGCATTTCATCTGAGTCCTTTGGCCTCACAGTGCATCTGCATTTTGATTGTTAATTAAATTCATTGTTACAATAGAAAGAATATGTGTTTCTATTTTAACAACGAAAACATGCAAGTTCTCTTAAGTGTTACCTGTTGTACTCGTAATAACTCTGGGAGAGAGAGGCCACTGATTCCTAAGATATAGACTCGTCTAGATTAGGAGTCAGAGACTTCATAAGCATTTGTAATTTATTTTTGACAATAAAAGATTTATTTATTTATTATTAACTGAGGATAGATGTGGATGTTTACGGAAAACAGCATCCGCTTACCGCTGGTGGACTGTGTGCTTGTTTGTCACCCTTGTTCTGAAATAAAAAATCCTGACAATTATAGGAGAGGCGCAACCCCACCAGAGAATTTTCACAAGCCGACGAAGAAGACAATTTTGCGCTGGTCATGCCATTCTATTTGAAAAGTCTAAAAAATTGGGCCTAAGCATTTTTGGATTAAGATGAAATCATAATTTGATCCTCAGTCTCCATCAGCATAATACACTGTATCTGCGGAGGTTAGCATTTAAATAATGACTTAAATTCAAATAATTAAAAACCTCCGAAACAAAAAGAACTGACCTTCATTAAAACGAAAAAAAAACTCAATCAAAATCAATTCATCCGTTCAGCAGTTATGATACCACAGACAGACGCACACTACAAACTAATGACACCCCTCTGTTTTCGTTGGTGGTTAAAAAGTAAAGATATATCCTCCGTCACACCCCTAGCTGGTTTATTTAGTTCATCGATGATATTTCTTTTTACGCATTAGTTAGCTTCAACTGCCGAAAATATTGATGACATGCCTTAATTTACCATTTGAATTTCTTTCTATCGTGGCATTACACTAAACAAGCTTATCACGTAATAAGTGGATTACAATATTTGTTTCTTGTTTATACGTTTTTCATTCGTTCATTTTAGCTTTATAGAAGTCTATTGCCAAACGTAGATTGCCATAGTTGCCACGCTAGTCAGGCGGGTCGCTAACCGCAGCTTTTTATTAATTTCGGTTGTTATCAGCGAGATGCTATTACTCTTCTCCTGCTTCAGTTTATCTCTGTGACCTCTTATGGGACCCACGGGGTGGTATGGGGCAGTAGATATTCTTGCATCTCCACTACATAGCAAGCTTTTACTTTTACTTTTAGCTTCTTGTTCATTTATTATCGGCTATTAAATAGAATGGTTTTCATGTACACGTACAATTTATAGGCGTTAAAAATAAAAAGCTACGGTTGTGACGTTTTTGTTGCAGCTTAAAACCAACGTTAATCATATTATTATACGTAATTTTAAGTCGATTTCCGAAGATAATCGCTTTAGTCCAGGTTCGTAATTACGTGCACACAAAAATAGTTCTAAGAAAGTATCGTAGTGCGTTGAAAAATATACTTTGCACTGTAAGAGTAGAAACTAAATTCGTGTATTCTGGTAGAAATTATTACAAGCATTATTATAAAAACGAAGTGGTGAGTGGCAGCGTAGGCGCATGCGTAACACCGGTAGCGGCAGGTGTTCATTCTCTCATTCTTATCTTGACAGCTTCGATGACTTACGGTCGAAACTCGGTCCCGGACCGCGTGTATTTGGTTTGAAAACAAAAAAAAAAACTTTTTATGTTACTGTTTTTAAGCTCATTCGTAACGGTATTCGTTTTTCGGTTGTACGTCTTTTTAAGGAATGTAATTTTATAAGTTGTCTCTTCGACGTTTTTGTTCATATTTCTTTTAAGAGCGGGTTTAAATCTTGACAGATACGCATGCCTTTCATGCTAATTCGTTAGACTGTGTTAAGAAGGCGTGAAAGCCGGGTGTTCTCTTAAAATTGTATTTTAAAAATGTGAAGTGGGCAAGTAAGCGCAGATTTACATAAGTTAAATAAAAAAATATAAGCGGTTATTAAATTATAAATATAAAGTGTTGTATACTTAACAATATATTTACTATTTATTGTATCCTTAAGTGTGTTTCTTATTGTAAGTTTTAGTAGAAGTGGCTATTCACTCGATAGCATACATATGTTCGAATATGTATGCTATCTAGTGAACAGTCAGAACAGTGCTATCTAGTGAGGAATGAGAAAAGAATTTATTGATCTTTAAAAGACATCAAAATTGTATACATTTGACAGTACAATTTTTATTCGACGTTGTTTACTGTTCGTGAAATCATTATGGCGTTGTTGGCGTGTGTTGGAGGTAAAAGAAAATATTAAAAAAATTAAAAAATCAATTAATTAATTTATAAAATTAAAATCTGAAGGCTTAGATGGAATGCCTCACAACCTATAATTTATACTGGTTTTCTATACTCTCCAGAACGAGACAAAGCACGACAGACTCCCAGACAATGTGTTTTATCTCATAGAATAGATAATGGTTTAAGGTACAAAAAAGGTTTAAAAATAAGCACCGTCTATCCGTCAGTCGACAAGACTCTCATAACCGCTCTGATGGCCCTTAAGCTATCGTATGATGACACTACGTACAGATGATGTGGAGTAGTGTTACCATGTAAGTCCCGGCTCCCGGCTCTATGGGTGTTTCAAGAGGCGACAGATGAAAACGTAACAGGAGATAAACAGCAAACAGCAGCATCTTCCTGATACCGGTTCGAAATCATAAAAAACTACGAGCGTGACAACTATAGCAAACACCTCTATAAGGTATACATATGGGGGACGCCTTGGTACAAAACTTTTGATAGCCTGTAATGAATTTAAAAAAAAAACGTGACACGTTTGCTGGAATGCCCCTTATTATGAGCATAGTAGGCATTATTACCATAAAATCTAGTTGATGACATTCCGCAGATACGAAGATGAATATAATAACGTTCCGGTCTACAGAAGGTTAGAAGCGAGCAGATAGTTTTATGTAGGTAAACAAAACCCCTTCTTTTGGGGTAGTCACCTAAAAAGTCTGATAATTATTATGGAATAATGATTTAGGAAATAAAATGTCATCTCTAATTTTTTTGAAATATTCATCGCGATAGTATAGATAAGGTTCGTGAAAATTGAAAATGTCACGAAACTAACCTATACTATCGCGACGAATATTTTTTAATATACTTATTTCGTGATCGATAATAATAGATACTGAAAATATTAATGTTATGATAAATATGTAATTATATTATAAATATACCTTAAAATATTTTTTTTTTTAAATTACGGTAGAATTCTTGTATTTTTGGCAGATTTTATCGTTCTTATCATTAAAATATACAAATACAGAAAACACGTTAAAATTATGCACATGTAGATTTTATATCACTTAATATGGTAAATGTGGCAAAATTTACCAAAAATACAAAGGAATGAAGTTTCAAATAAGACGATCTGTAGCAGGGAAACACCCAACTTTTTATTCATAGTTTAATACATACATCATAAAGACGATAGTACGTAAAAATAATATTTTATATACATACAATATAGTAGGCAGGTCTTTATGTCTTTAACAATAAGACACATTAAACCGAAAGAAATTTTTACATCAGTGATTTAAGTGACTTTCAGGGACAAATATCGGGTGGCTCAATAGAATAATAGAGGTCCAATTTGGCTATAACCGTTTTTCGATTTAAGACTTTATTGCGATATCTAAATGGTGTATTTTCATTGACATGTCTGAAGGTCAAGTCGCGTGAAGAGAGCAAGTATTAATAAAAATAAAAACGACATTCTGTATTGTACAGCCATATGTATGTCCCACAGCTGGGACTAACCTTCAAACTTAATCCTTCATATATTATTTTTATAGAAAATAGACATATGTCACGCCAGTCCACCTTATGATACTCATAAATTGTTACTGTAGCCTACCCCAACTCCAAACAAACAAACTTACAGAATTACGTTATCACTCGTAAAAAGTGAGATGAAACATTTCATAACCTTTAGTCATTGGGTGCGTTTGGCAGAAAAAAAGTGCTAGCAAGCGCTTGTAAGCAAAATGGCGATCGTAAGCGGTAAGCGCTGTTAAATCGTAAGTAGCTATTTTCCTCTAGGACACGAAGTTAGTTTTAACCGGGAGGAACCTAACCTAATTTAAATATATGTTTGTAAAGTATTATTTAATTCCTCCTGTTGTTGGGGTTCGGGTGGGGTTGGTTCAACCCACGACTTTTTTCGTCGTCGCGCCTGCCTGGCTACTGTCGCTTCATTCATATTAAAAACTTACCAATCATGATTTTTTAATAACATGAATATGTTTATTCATGTCATTATATTACTTAAAACTAATATTTTACAAAACAACTTATAAACTCTACTTCAAAACAAACAAATTAAATAAGCAAAATGGCGGATTGTGTCAGCGCTACTGAAGTTAGGAAACGTGTCCTGGCCGAAAACTGTTTAGTTTCGCCATTTTGCTTACAAGCGCTTGCTAGGGCTTTTTCTGCCAAACGCACCCATTCTTTATCGTTTACTCTTGAAACAGCAAAACAGCACTGGCAGAGATAGGTATGAGGGTAATAATAACCTAGACAGACTGCTGCAGGTAGAACAGAAGCCTTACTACGTACTATGAGTTCAGATTGTCTGTCACATATACTTAATGCATTCCACGTTTGCACCTGCGAGTAACGAAACTGTTTTATTCATAGTTGTAATTAACTATTACTAGTAAAAAATAGCAGAAGCGATATTTAGCTAGCTAATATATTATAAACCCAATTTTTACACAAATAGCTATAATAGAAGTTATGACACCGCTAAAACTTTCTTGTAAAATACCTACAAGGAAAACAGACATAACTGTGGGACATCAAAAGTCCCGCCGATGAATATATAAGCAAGAAAATATGACCGACATGCGAATGCCGATGCCGGCGAAAGTAAATTGTCACTTGTATTTAATGTAGTGTAAATATCCGATAGGAAGGTAGGAACGGATACTTGCGTCCGTGGCGGACGTAATGGGAGTCAAATGTATAATACCCACCGACCGGATAAAACGACTAAGTGATATCCAAGACAAATAGACTTGTAATTAATACATTATAAAATATGCCCTGAGACTTGTGTACTTAAGACTTGTGCATTTTTTATACACAAAAGTAGAAATAAAATAGTAAAATGAATCGTAATTTAAAAAAGCCTAACCCGCGTTAACGTGAATCTGAATTTAAATTTCATAAAAAACTGAATTATTTAATCATTGGATCTTGTTGGAATTTATAAGTGCTCATTGTGAAAGTATTTTCTTGCCAAAAAATTAACAAAATCGGCAATCGATTAACGGCAACATCACAGTAATGAACCAGAATAATTTGCCAACTTGTCTTTACATCCGATTAAAATGTTAGTGTCTTCAGTACAAAAGTGAATAAGCTTTTATTAAGCTAAGTTAGTACTTTCACTTGTGCCATTCTCAGCTATATCACCACTTAACATCAGGTGGGATAATAATCAAGCAATGGTTAGTAATAGTTAAAAACTATAAGAGATACTGTTCTAAGTACAATTCTAAATTATAACTAAAATTTTTATAGTATACCAGCGTAAAACAGCAGTTTAATGCTGCTGTGTTTCGTGTGGCCCATTTTCACTGCAAGCGAGGCATTCCATCTCTGTACTCAGGAGTGATAACGCATCTGCGTTTTGATTTTTAAGCAAGGGCAGATGTATATGTACTTAACCTGATTATAAGTGGATATGGGCCACAGTATCCACTTATAATCAGGTTAATTACTGATTTGTATGGTAATATATTAAAATATTGTAATACATAAATACATAAAATTATTGAATTGAGTATAACTTCCTTACTCTAGGTATAACAAAATATAAGATAATGACGGCACATTATAAAATATTTAAAACGTTAAAAATAACGTAAAAAGTATGCATGCGTATAACTTAAATAATGAATATTTGTAAAACATATATACATATCATAATATTAGAAGTACATATTAGTAAAGATATACATATGTAGGTACGTTTATCATACAAATTTATAATGTTTTATCCCGCTGAGATAATAGAATAATATTAAGAGAAACGTCACGAATATCTCATGGTGTGCGATACATAGCGAAATAATAAACGTCTGAAAATTGTTTGCAATGAAGAAGTTAAATATTGCTATATTTTTTAGTTAATCAAAATTCGTATCACCTTCTCTCCTACAATGTGTGTGCAATATTTATATATTTTTTAGATATCAAAAAGTACTATCTATTTATAGAAAGTAAATTTCGAAGCTTTTCTATTGTCAAGAATTAAATTAATCAACAAAAAAAAATAGCACAGTGAAACAAAGTATACAAACGTTGAATATAAAAGAAATACATTATAGAAAATCATCTTTTTATACTAGAGTATTTGTAGCGAAGAATTCGAGACTTAATTGAACACTGATATAGTTATAACATAGAAGTAAAAAAAATGTACCTATGCACTCGTATCGAATACTATAAAAGTGTAGAAGACGGAATAAAACTTTGCAAAAGTTGGTTATGAATTAATTATGTCAGTATTGTATATTCATAAAAAGTAAAAAGTAACTGTATGCTTCTGTTGAATAAAAACTTGTTAAGCACTTTTACCGGTGCATTATATAGAATTACTGGCGCCACAATTTAACTGAAATTTTAATTAATTATGACAATATAAAATTCATGATTGATTAAGTTATTTTTTAACGTTTATTTTATTTAATTTATTTGCCAAAAGAATTCTTATAATAGTTAATCATATTCGAAGTGGTCACATTATCAATTTAAATTGAGCTATAAACTTATTGATTACGCCAATCTTGAGTGTTTTTACTGTAAGTCAAGTTTATAAAAAAAAAAAATATTCTGCGCGCTGCTGCCGATATTGTCAACTTTTCTATCTTAATATTTTGGACTTTATAATTTCTGGTATTCCTTTAATGTTGTACTTAAATTTAAAAAATCTATAAACCGGAGAAAAGCCGTAGCTTAGGGGCTAATAGCTTCATAACGCTATCGGAGTTTTAAAGATGTGAATGGGAGGCGGCCTATGAGGTGAGATTTTATTTTTTTATAGAATAGGGTAACAAACGAGCATACGCTCCACCTGATGTGTAGTGGATTCTGTGGCCATTAGACATCTATATTTATTCTCAATTATTAAGAATAAAAATGCAGATGCGTTGTCACCCCCGAGGACTAAGATGAAATCCCTCGTTATCAGAAATAAGGGTCTCCAGTTCTTTAC